TAATAATAATAATAAAAAACACCTCCCGACTCTCCCCTTCTTCCTCCTTCCCCCCCCCCTCTCTAAGCCTCCGAAAAACGGGGGTCTCTGGTTCCAGTCTTGCTCGGGCCTTTCTCAGGGTTAACAATTCTAGAGGCTCAAAGAGCTGATGGTGGAAGTGTTCCCAACTAGACCGCGCTTAAAAACAGCGGGCGGTTTGGTGTAAGGCTCGCAATTGTGGGGGGTGGGGGGAGAAAGAGAGGGGGTTCCCCTCCGGCCTAGAACATGGCCCACCGGAGAGTCCCCACGTAGGGCTCCGAGACCTTCTAGCAAGGGGTGGCGAAATGTCCTGGGCGAAATTTCGAGACACCCCCTCCGCCCCTCCGGAACGGCTGGTTTCGATCCCATACTCAAGAGTTTGGAAACTGGGTTACAGAGATCTCTCTGGTCCTCTCCAGGGCGGTAGGCCTTGAGGCTGGGAACTGGTTCTCTCCTCTGCAGATCTCCTCTGCAGGAGATCTGCTCGGGACCCTTCCGATGTGACCTTTCACCCATGGCTTTTTGCATAGCCCTGTCAGCTCCACACTCCCAAATCCTGCCCTGGCCTTTAACGATTCCAGTCTATTGGCTAAATGTGTTGGAAAGCCCCGTTGGTTTAAATAGGACTCCTTTTCTTTTCTTTTCTTTTTTCTTTTCTTTGTAGCCCTTCAGGCGATTCCACTACACAGAATTTTGAACGGCCTCCTCGTCTTCAAGAAAAGAAAAATCAAGAAAGTCCACTTGCTTTTTTTTTTTTTGGAAAGCACCTTTGGGACACCTGTGAGGTTGAGGTTTCCAGTCGACAAAGAACCACAAAGTTGTGGCTGCTAACTCTGAAAGAACGATCTTTTTTGCTTTCTAATTACACGTAGGCATTAGCTGCCTTGGAAAGCCGGCTAGGATAATTAAAAGACCATTAAAAGGTTATCCGAATTTGGGGGAGGGGTGAGAAATCCTTTACATCTTATCTAAGTAAAAGAGTTCACACTCAGAGTTCACACTTCGGGTTAAGCAGGGTAGATTTCCTCTCCTAAATACACACATGCTCGCGCCCAGACACACACACACACACACACACACACCTATGTTTAAAAATCGGAAATAGGAAAACTCTGGGGTCCTGTGACTTCTTAGGGATGGATACAGATCTCATTTTGGAGGGTCTAAGTGATCTCAGGGAATCCCTTTCTGAGTATCTCTGGGGCAAACGTGCCTCGCGAAAAAGCTTTTATTAAGCTCCTGAGCTAATGCTCATTTCTCGGAGAGCAAACCTCGGAGTAAATACTGAAATCTTTTCTTATCTTATCCCCCTCTGTTACACCTGGGGAGCCCCAGAGATAAGCAGCAACTCGGCCGGTGTACAAGCCAACAGAAAGGCGAAGGGTTATCCAGTTTGGGGTTGGCTGTAGGGTGTTTAAACCAGGTTAGGGATCGGACTACAACTCCGCCTGCACCATTAAGGAGAGATTCCTAGTCACGAATTGGCGAGATTATTCTGATTACGGCAGTTTAACGATTTTTTTTTAAAAAAAGGAGAGAATCGAAATGTTGGTACTTTGGAACGTACGGAGGAAAAGAAAATTGCATTTTACTGAGCAGCTGTACTTCACGTACAATTCGGGTCGGGGCATTTTGTTTGCGTGTTGTGTGTTCATTAAAGTCAACAATCGAAATTATATTTAGCTCTTCAGAACGGAGGCATTAGGAACTGCACGGAAAGAGGCAGGAAGAGAGAGAGAGAGAAAAAAGAATGTTTTTCAGGCTCCTGCTTTAAAAATCTTTTTTTTTCCAATTCTACCCTGTCGCTTCTGTCGTTGTTAACATTAACGTTGTTATTATTACATCAGTTTTTAAGAAAGATCTTTCGGGAACGGGTGATTTTCAAACCCCCCCCCCCAAGTTAAAAACAAATGCGCCTAGATAGGGAGGGCAAGTGGCAGGAAAAGCTTCATCCAGCTGATTGACAGCAGGTCACCGGCGAGAAAACCCAAGCCCTGGACAAGGTCGTCTGCATTTGTTACTTGTTGAAATTCCCATAAAATTGAACAAGACCTCGCTCTCATCTGGGTTAAGTCAAGCTCCAGTCCCCTTCGGTGTGGTCCAGCCCAGACTGTCTTTGTTTAGTTAACCTCCGAGACCCACGTTTAAAAAAGGTTATTTGGAGAATCCGTCTCCTCCTCCTCCTCTTCCCCTCCCGATCCCAGCTCAACATCTTTTACCCATTTCGGAGCCTTATTTTCTCTCCTCTCTCTCTCTCTCTCTCTCTCTCTCTCTCTCTCTCTCTCTCTCTCTCTCTCTCTCTCTCTCTCTCTCTCTCATTCTTTCTCCCAGATTTTTCAAAAAATTCCAAAAAAAAAAAAAAAAAAAGTAACATATTATGAAGAGAAGATCTCGGCAGTTCTTTCCAGTTATAGAAATAACCCGAGCGCCCTTCTTTTGCATTTTGGAAGAAAATGCGGGAAAAAAAAAAAAAAACTCGGCTCCTTTCTCCCAGAACATCTGCAGAACGCCTCGCAAGTCCCCCCCTCCCTTTTTTTTTTTCAATTAGCCCGATACAACAACAGAGTATTTTTTTTTTTAAAGCATACAAAAGAGATTTAGCGTTTTTCTCCCTCTGGGGAAGAGGGAGAAAAAAGGGTTTCAACCAAGCAAAATGCTGCCGGGGGAGGGGGGAATAGAGCAATATAGCTGAGCGCTATCTACTTAGGAACACACAGCCTGGGGAAGCAAGGCAAGGCTTTCGGGGTGATTTCACAAGGAACAGAAACAACACAACCCCGATGTGTTAACCGACCCTGGAGAGTCAGGAGTTTAAAAAGCCGACTTCGCCGCTGTCGGAAGCCTCCTTCTGCGCAGACGTCTGCAGGGTGGCAAAACTTAAACAACCCGGACGCAACAGCCACTCCAAGGGACCAATTCGTAGGGGCCTGGGACGGAATCCTGCTTGATTTATTAACTCCCGGTGTCTGCATCTCTCTCTCTCTCTCTCTCCCTCTCTCTCTCTCTCTCTCCCTCTCTCATCTATCTATCTATCTATCTATCTATCTATCTATCTATCTATCTATCTATCTATCTATCTACCTATCTATCTACCTATCTATCTATCTATCTCCCTGCGTGAGTGCATCCCGCCTTTCTCTTTCTTTCTTTCTTTCTTTCTTTCTTTCTTTCTTTCTTTCTTTCTTTCTTTCTTTCTTTTTCTTTCTCTTTCTTTCTTTCTTCCTTCCTTCCTTTCTGCCTCTTTATCCCTTATTGCCAAAGGGAATCTCGCAGCCCCCCCCTCCTACCCAGGTTTACCGGGAAGAACGGTAATTGAATGAGAACTCGTCGTGTGTGTGTGTGTGTGTGTGTGTGTGTGTTACCTCGGCCATTCAGCCTGGCCTGAAGAGGAGGCCGAGGAGCTTGGCACGGTGGGGGGGGGGAGGTTAAAAAACACCAGGTGCTCCTAACGGCAGCCTTAAGAGTTGTCCAAACGGCAGGCGCCTTTTCACTCGGGTGTGTGTGTGTGTGTGAGAGAGCGTGGGTGCCAGGAACAGTGGGGAAGAATTGCGTCTAATAAACACCACATCGCTCTGGCACTTTCGTGTGGAGAAGCTCCTGGATGCGACGACCTCGTTGGTTAATGAACTAAGATTTTGGACCCAGGGTGTAAGGAGGCACCGAACAATGGAATTCGAGACTGGTCTTGAAAAGTCCAAGATGCCTCGAGGCTAGACTGCAGATGTACATTCTCTCCTTCGTCCAGTTCTACTCTTCCCCACCCCGCAACAATCGTGCCTTTTCCTCTCGCCCCATCCCCCCTGGAAAGCCTTTGCTTTCTTACCCCAAAGCTGGTGTTTTCTCTGAAAACATCTGGAGCGGAGAAGGACCTTCCCGGCTTGTTATCTGACAGCTACAACTTAACTTGAGCAGAGCGGAGGGGTTTTGTGTGTTTCTTCCCCCTCTTTAGCACTCAGGAGAAAAAATTTTGTGATTTGGGGTTGTTGTTGTTTTTTTTTTTAAAAAAAATGTACCTTAAATTTCACTTCGAGGTGTGAGAAACAATGCAATTCCCCTTGAACAGACAGACAGACAGACACACGCACAGCCCTATCAAGTCAATTACTCAAACACAGCAAAAAGAACTTAGATCAAATACCAAACGGCAGCACACACAAATCCAACGTTCCTATCCAAGGTCCCGATCTGGCTGCGATTCTGAGCACCAGTCAGTTTGCTTAGGATCGCAGCCAGATACTCTCAGATTCCTCTCTCGCCTTCTCCCCCACCCCTACCCCACCATCCCGCGTTAGGACTCGCTTTTAGAAGCGGCTCACTTCCTTCTCTCGGTCCCCTTCACGAGTGAAATTCTTCAATCTATACACGTGAGTATGAAAACACCCACGACCGCCGAATTTTACACCCTCTGACTTAAAAGTCCCCCCTATATAAGCGACTCTGGCGGCCAAGTTAGTACGCAGGGAATATCCTGCAAACAACAGATTGTGGGCTGGCTATGGGCTTCAAACTAGTCTTTCTCAACAGGATCGGACCGTCTATAGACTATTAGGCGGCCCTTAAAGTCGCAAAGGAGTGGGGTTTCCAAACGTAACTGTAGGGTGCCTGGAACTAGGGGCAGGGAAGGGAAGAGGGGGGCTGTCCTTCTGGGCTCCCAGAGGGTGAGATTGACCCCCACGGGAGCCGTTCCCATTGCTGGGGCGGGGGGGGGCAAGGCAATATTGACTCGGGGATAAATTGTTCCACGGAATCCTTTCAGTTCAGCCAGCTTAGTCTCGGGGCTTCAAAGTACGCGCATGCCTTGGATTCCTGCCCTCCTGAGAACCGAATCTGGCTCGGGGGTGGGGGGGGGGACCAAAAAAACTTCGGGGAATGTTTCCTTTCCAGATTCCCAGGAAAAGAGGCCTCATCCAGCCTTTGGAAAAACCAAGCAGAGGGAGGGAAGGAGGGAGGGAGGGAGGGACCGGACGGGGCGGCTGCGGTACCTGAGAGGTCTTCCCTGCCGTTTTGGTGCAGGTAGCTCTGCTCCAGCGAGTAGGAGGCCATTCCCGAGTGGAGGCCGGCCGGGGCGGCGGCGGCGGACGGCGGCGGCGGCGGCTGCAGGGCCTGCTGCTTGAGATAGGGCGAGGCCGCCGAGGCAGTCCAGTGTCCGGCCGGGCTGCCGTAGGGCGAGTGGCACTCGATGGCGCTGGCCATGGCCGGCGAGGAAGGCACCGGGCTGCTGCTGCTGTCCGGCCCGTAGTCCGGCCCGTTAGACGGCACGGGGCAGCTGGCCATGTACGTGGAGCCCGGGTTAGGCGACATGTGCGGGACGTGGTGGGCCTCGTAGGCAGCGCCGGCCTGCATCACCTCCAGGGGGTTGTAGCCGCCGGGGTGGCAGCCCAGGGGCGCGGCCGGGGGCGCCTGGAAGTCGAAGCCCTGCGGGAGGAAGCCGAGCCCGTTCACCACGCGGTGGTAGACGGTGGGCTTGAGCGCCTGGCACTTCCTTCGGAAGCCCCGCGGGCGTCGTCGGAAGGAGCCTTCCTCGAACATGAACTCGCTGGCCGGGTCGATGGTCCAGTAGTGGCCTTTGCCCGGCCGGCCCAGCCCTTTGGGCAGCTTGATGAAGCACTCGTTGAGGGAGAGGTTGTGCCGCACCGAGTTCTTCCAGCCTTGGTAGGCGCCGCGGAAGAAAGGGAAGCGGGCCTGCAGGAACTGGTAGATCTCGCTCAGCGTCAGCCGCTTGGAAGGCGAGCTCTGGATGGCCATCACGATCAGCGCGATGTAGGAGTAAGGCGGCTTCTCCGGACGGCGCAGCCCCGAGCTGGCCTTCTTGGCTTTGGAGGGCGCGGGCGCGGAAGCGCCGCTACCGGCGCCGCCGCCGCCGGGGGTTGTCGAAGTGCTGCTGCCGGTGCTGGACGTCTCCAGGGCGGAGGGAGGCAGCGGCGGCGGCGGCTGGTTCATGGAGGCCGGGCTGCGAGGCACCGGGCCCCCGATCTCGGAGCTCATGGAGGCTGTTGCTGCTGCTCCTGCTCCTCCTCGGGCCACCTCCTCAGCGGTCTGGCAGCAGCGGCGGCGCCCTGAACATCTCTGCCTCCTCCCTTGCGCAAGCTTGTCAGCCGCTCCCGGCCTCGCTCGCTCTTTCACACGAGCCCGGCGCCCCTTCCCTCCCTCCTTCCTTCCCTCCTTCCCTCCTTCCTCTCCCGTCTGACCCCCTCCTTCCCTTTCTCCTCCACCGCTGCCTCCTCCTCCTCCTCCTCCTCCTCCTCCTCTTCCTCCTCCTCCTCCTCCTCCACCCCACCCCCGGCTCAGCAGCCTTCAGTTCTCCCGGACTCCGCTCTCTGCCCCCCTGCCTGGTGGCCTCCCGAAGCCTTTAAAGAAGAGGAAATCCATCAAACCCCTGCGCCGCTTTTGCGTTAAGGCGGCGCGGCCAAACACAATCTGCGGAGGGCTCTCGCCTGGGGGAAAGGAGGTGGGGAGGGAGAGGAGGAGGGAGGTGGCGCAGGAGGAAAAGAGAGGGAGGGAAACCCCTTCTCCTCCCCCTCCCTTTCCCCTCCCCCTTCTCCTGCTCCGCTGAATTTATCCCACAACTCAAGCCGAAGGAAGAGGAGAGAGGAGAGCAGAGGAGAGGAGAGGCGGAGGGCGGGCGGTCTCGTCTCCACTCCAGCTGGCTTCTGTCCACACACACACACACACACACACACACCGCCTCCAGGCCTGCGGGCTCCCCGCGGAGGCTCCAGATCCCCTCTGGCTGCCATCTTCTGTACACGCAAATTATGCCATCCGTCAACTTGCCCTCTCTAGACAGTTGCCGGGTCTCCCGGCCACACGCCTGGCACCGGGCTCCCAAGGTAACGGGTGTTTTGCCACCGCCTTTCCTTTCGCTTGGCACGAGGCGGTTGCCAGCATTGCGGAATGGGCTTCTTTGGCAGGAGGCTCCCAGGGGCTGAATTCGCTTTCCCCCGAGCGGGAACGGTTTGTGGTCCTTTGGAGAGCGTCGCCCCCTCCGGTCACCGGCGCCTTTTCCGAGGCTTTGACAACGCGGTCTAAGCTTGGAGCGAAGGCACCGGGCAGTCCGATCCGGTGGGGCTTCCTTCTCAACTCTAGGTCCTTGGCAATAAAACCTGACGCTTCTGGACGAGGTGCAGCGCCTTTTAGACCCCTTCAGAAGCCAAAAGGGCAGGACGGTCGCCCTTCATTTTCAGCCAGGGGCAGATTTGCAGATGTGTAGCCCCCACCCTGAAGTACTGGTACCTCTTAGGCAGAAATGAACCTGGAAAGCTTTCACCTCGGATACAAGCGGCCTCGGGTGTGAGGGTCCACTTGAACCCCCGCAGGTGCACTTAGCATCTGGGGCCGCCAGTGATTCCGTGGATCGAAAGCAGTGAATCTATTTCGAGGGCAGGCCAGCCCTCGGAATAGATTCGTTTCTTTAGAAAGGTTGGAAATATGGAGCTCCCCCCCCCCTCTAAACTCCCGCATTCCTTTTCTTTCAAGGCAAGAAACCCTGGGACCGCCCGTTTCCCATTTCTGCTGGCCATTTATTTCCCCAATCTTTTTTCAAAGGCTGTGCACGTGTGCACACACTTGTACACGGGCTTCAGCCATTCTCGGGCAAATCCTGGGAAGGCAAGACCACTACTTCAGTTTCACAGATAGAAAACCGAGGCTTTCTAGTGATTTGCCCTGAACTGACAAAGTTATTTAAAGGTCTTCTAGAATCCTACATGCCTTCTGTGTTCTTGTTCCTTCTGCATAAAGCTAATATTAGAAATGGAGATTCAGTCCTTCTGTAGCTGGAAAGATTTTGTAAGAGGGAAGGGCATGTCACAAATAATGATTTTCTATGGAAGATCCACTTGGGGCATTTCATTGTACTGAATCTGATATACCCGGAGCTCCATTTTACAACCCAACCCAACCCAGATTATGGTTCCCCCATGGAATGAATCCAAGGATGGATTTGAACTTTAAATCTTCGCGTCTCCCACCTCCAAACCGAATTCTCCCAGCTCTGAGGACGAAGCCAAACCAAAGGAACCCAATCAGGTTTCAATCTGAAGATGAGATCCTAGCACTTTGAGCAACTCAAGTCTGGCCTTTCCAACCCTAGAAGTCAGGGTCATGTAAGGGTTGAAAGTCTTCGATTATTTCACCAAGTTGGGAACTGATTCCATCGCCAAAGCGCTTCGGTCTGGGCAATTGGACTGGGTATTGATCCAGAACTGAGGAAAGCCAGACTCCTACCAGCCACCTTACTGGATGGTCTTGAGGCCAACCATTCTCTTTGACAGGGATGTTGGGAAGAGGATAAAACGACTCTGTCTTGGGCGACCCAAGATAGAAATCTAACCAACCAATGTTCCCAGGGGTTAGACAGGTTCCCCAAACGTTGCCCCTTTCAGATAGGGACGGAGGCCCCAGAAAAGGAGCCGGCTCCCCTCTTGGCCTGCTTTCGGGTGAAGTTGCCAACCCACTCCTCAAGCCAGGAGGGTCTAGGGATCCTTCAAATCTCCCGCGCCTGCACACGTGCAGCTGAAGCTCCCGAGGCCAGCTGCCTCTCTGGGTGAGCCTTAAGCCGCCGCAGCGTTGGTGGTGCTGCTCCGAGCTGCTCTGGGGGGCGCGGGGAAGGGGGCGGGGAGGGGAGGGGAGGGGAGGGGCGGCGGCTGGTGCTGCCATTGCCGCTTTCAGACAGTGACCTGGAGGAGCTGAGTGGAAGCAGGCTTTTTCCATCATCGACCCTCCGCCGGGCTTATACCACCCACCGAGCCCAAGTGTCAGTTTACCGTCCTGAGCCGGGCTCCTTTCCCTAAGCTAGGCCGGTAATTAGACAAAGTAAAGCTAAATTAACTGAACAGGCGTCGACAGCCTCTTCCAGATCACCCGCCCCTCTGTCGCTAGAAAAAAAGAAAAAAAGAGGGCCCGAAAATGGCTTGGTTGTACCTACACACACACACACACACACACACACACACACAATCAGCTAAGAAAATTACCACGAAGCTCAAGACAAGGTTTGGGACACAACCGCAAGCAGGGAAGGAGGTTATTGCTCGGGTGCGGATGCGCGCTCGCGTGGTGCCTGTCTCTGTATCCACTTGCTGGGGGTCCAGGCGGAATCTTCCACCACCCCTCGCCCCCCACACACACACAGCCACCCTGATCCTGGGAATTCATCTCTTCTGAAAGAATTCCGAGTGGGAAGCCACCGAGCCCGTGGAGGACCCCAAACGGTGGCTAGAAATCTCCGGAAAGTATCCCAACCACTCACCCCTTCCCAAAACGCCCCCCAATCCCCAATTTTAAACTCGCTCGCTGTCCCCGGGACTGGATTTCCCGGAGCCTCCTTCTCGAGGGGCGTCTGCGAGTCCTTCCTTGTTCAGGTGACTTTTTTTGCTGGCTTTCAACGGGCAAAAAGGCGCCTTGCGCTCCTGGCGAAGGTTCACGAGCAAAGAGGCATTCGCGCGCGCCCCCCCTCTCCCCAAAACACTTTTTTCCAGACAATTTATTTTATGCTCCGTGAAAGGGGGGAGAAGTAACGCGGAGCGACCCCCAGTTAAGGGCTGACTCTATGTGTGTGCGCGGGTGTGTGTTTTCTCACACCGTCAGAACGTCTGTCGGTTCCTTCGATCTTCGGCCACCCAGACCGGCAGCCTAAAGAAGCCCCCGTCCCTCTCCGTGATTGAATCCACCTTCGTGTCTAACCCACTCTCTGGGAATTGGATTCAAACGTTGTTTAACTCGGAGGAGACTAGAGAAGGATTGGTCTCAAAAACGGGGGCAACCGGTAGGGGACAGCAAAGGGTTTTCGTTTTCTCTCTGCTGCCACCAAGCGGTCGTACCGACTTTTTGCTGCTCGGATTTGGTAGCCCTCGCTTCTTTTGCTGCTCGGATTTGGTAGCCCTCGCTTCTGACTTACACCCAAAGGTTGTTTTTTTTTTCCCAGGAGGCAACTGGACTTTCTTGTTTTTCTTTGAAGACCTTTCGCTTCTCATCCCAGAAGCTTCTTCAGCTCTGACTGGATGGTGGGGAATGGAAGGGTTTATATTCCTTGCAGACAGCTGGTCATTTGCATCCTTTAGAGCAGGGCTCCTCAACCTTGGCAACTTTAAGACTTGTGGACTTCAACTCCCAGAATTCTGGCTGAGGAATTCTGGGAATTGAAGTCCACAAGTCTTAAAGTTGCCAAGGTTGAGGACCCCTGCAAGTTTAGAGAGTCCTTGAGACCGTTTGGAGGTTTACCTGTGTCCTCAGGATCACCTGAATAGTGCAAATGACCAGCTGTCTTCAAAGTGGTCTTCAAAGACAAATAAGGAAGTCCGGTTGCGTCTTGAAAAAAGCACCTTTGGGACAACCCTGACCTGGACGGCTGAGAATTTCCATAGACACTTCCTTCTTATACTTTCCCCACATGTTAATGGATCTCATCCTTTCTTTCCTTACATTGCAAATAAAATTAATTTATTCTGAGTTGAATCTTGGGTGTTTCGATCTTCATCCCAAAGGGATGGGATTGATGCCCTCTGGGGCGCTTCTTTATCTCCCCCCTCACTGCCCCGCTCCCATACCTCATTCACCAAATGGGGAGCCCCTCGTATCGGTCTTCTTCCAGAGTGGAGGCAAGCAAACCCCCCCAGCACAACGTCAGTCATGAGAATGGGGCTAGCACGGTGTGGTGACCTAGATTTATCTATGCGCAGATAAGAAAGACTCGATCCTAAAGACTCGAAATTAACAATGGAAGGAAACTCCCCCCCCCAGGCAACTGGACTTCCTTGATTTTTCTTTGAAGACGTTTCGCTTCTCATCCAAGAAGCTTCTTCAGCTCTGACTATGACCCGGATGACTGAGAATCTCCATAGACAGCGGAATGAAACCAGTTTAAAAGCAGGTAGGGAATTTCAATTTTAGCTAATCGGGAGGATAGATTTAGGAGAACCCCGAAGAGTGCTTTGAGCCCCCTAACGACTCCAATGGCTATTTGGCCTCTGCAGTAAATTAGCTGT